GCCCCATCAAGCCCGTCCTCTCCTGCCTCGTGTGCCCTGTTCCTGTCTCTCGCTGTCGGACGGATCCCCTTGGTTACGAACCCGGACTACGCACCTCGACGACGATTACAGCACGCCTCCACCTCTCCTCTGCCCCGCTTCCCAGAGCGGGACTTCCAGCTTGAACCGTATAACCGGTTCCCGGTCTTTTGGATAGGAAGGTCTTTGCACGCAATAAACCTACCTAATCCCTGCACGTCTGGATTCCCGGTCTCCTCATTCCGTGACAGAATACTTCACCTTCGAATGGATCCAGCAGGGACCCTAGAGCGTCGTGTGGCTGCCGTGGAGCAAGTCCTGGCCGCCCGCGCTGCCCAGGTACCACTACCCGATTCACCTCCACGTCCTCCCGCTTCCGTTCCGATTGCGCTTCCCGAGCGCTACGATGGGAACCCGGAGCAGTTTAAGGGGTTCCTAATGCAATGCGGCTTCTACGTCGAGGAACACCCAGAGATGTTCCGCTCTCCGGATGCTGAGGTTCGGTTTACGATGTCCCTACTGACCGGACGGGCTCGTGAGTGGGCCACGGCCCTTTGGAGTGACGACAGTCCTCTTTTGCGGTCCGGTAGGGAGTTTCATCAGGCTTTGATGGAGATTTTTGACCATCCTGCCGTTGGAAGAAGACCAGCGGTTCGGCTTTTGGACTGCCGCCAAGGCAATCGCACGGCGGCTGAATTTTCCTTTGAATTCAGGACCATCGCCGCAAACCTGAGGTGGCCAGACGACTGTCTACAAGCCATCTTTCTCCGAGCGCTGACTCCAGACTTACAGGACGAGCTCGCACATAGGGGAGAGGCCCCTTCCTTCGACGATCTGGTTCGGCAGGCCATACGCTTAGATAACACCATGAGGGATCGCCGACGCCGACGTCCTCCCACGGAGGTTCCCCGAGGAACAGCCCTCCCTGCCATCGAAGCTGCTGAACCTATGCAGGTGGACCGGACGCCCCTGACACCCACGGAACGAAGACGACGGCTCCAAGGGGGATTATGTCTATATTGCGGAGGAGCCGGTCACTCCATCGCCTCTTGTGCCTCTCGTCCTGCCCCCAGCACGGTTCAACTCCCGGTAGGTATATCCTCCTTTTATACGAATTCGCTTTCCCAGTTCACTGTGCCCATACGTGTAGAACGGGGAGGTCACAGATATGAGGGGAGGGCGCTCATTGACAGCGGGTCCGCCGGCAACTTTATTAATGCTAACCTAGCTGAACGGATGAATCTGACCCTGCAGAGACTGGCTCATCCGATTTCCGTTCGAGGGGTGACCGGGGACCGTATGCCGGAGGGTACTATACTCTATCGGACTCAACCCTTCCAGCTAAGTGTGGGGGTGTTGCACACTGAATCGTTGGAGGTTTACGTACTGCCTAAGTCCAAAGATGACGTTATACTCGGGCTGCCCTGGTTACGGAAACATAATCCTCGTTTGGAGTGGAGAACAGAGGAGATTGTAGCCTGGTCGGACCAGTGTCTCCGGGACTGTATGTCCCTTCCATGTCAAGCAACTGGCGTCGAAAGTCCCGAACCAGAAAACCTTGACGTCGTTCCCGCAGAGTACCTGGATTTCAAAGACGTCTTCAGTAAGGAGAAGGCATCCGGACTCCCTCCTCACCGAGAGTGCGATTGTGCCATCGACCTGTTAGAGGGGGCTAAAATGCAGCGGGGTACACTGTACCCTGTCTCATTAACCGAGGAAGAGTCCCTGGAGACATACATCCAGGAGGGATTACAGCAGGGAATTATCCAACCCTCCACCTCACCTGTAACAGCTGGATTCTTCTTCATTAAGAAGAAAGACGGGGGTCTACGACCTGTGGTGGATTATCGTGCCCTTAATGCGATCACGGTTAAGAGACGTGATCCTCTCCCTCTAATCCCTTCCTCCCTGGAACAACTGCGAGAGGCAGTTATATTCACTAAGCTCGATCTCCGGAGCGCCTATAACCTGGTACGGATACGAGCAGGGGACGAGTGGAAAACCTCTTTTGTCACCAGTAGGGGGCAATACGAATATTTAGTGATGCCGTACGGGTTGGCTAATAGTCCGTCAATCTTCCAATCTTT